TGACTCCATGACTGGCAAAAATAAATAAATAAACAAGTAATAATAAGTAATGGATCCTAGATCTAGGTAAAACCTTAAGTTACAAAGCTTCTAGAATAAAATTGGTAGTTATTAGAAAAAATGAAAATTAAATCCTTGATGAAATGCCACAATACATCTATTAGAATGGCTTGCAGGAACAATAGCAACCAAACATAAAACAAAAACAAAACAAAAAACTTGACAGCACCAAGCTACTGATGTGTGTCTAGCAATGAAACTTCCCATTGCCAGCACTGATATTACAGGAAATGATGTGGCTTTTTTTTTTATAAAATTAATTTCATACTTACTATGTGACCAGTCATACTTCTAGGTATTTACACCAAAAGAAATGAAGATACATGTTCACACAAAAACCTACATCTGGCTGTTTTTAGAAACTCAGAACTTAGGATACTGCCAAGGTCTATCTTTCAGTTGGTTAATGGAGAAGATAAACAAATACTGATACATCCAAACGGGGTCACGTCTGAGAGACTCATGGATAGAGCCAGTGAACTATTGGCCACCAAGGCTGGAGGCTCTGTGTAGTCAACAATATTGTGAGCTCCTTCTGGGAGCTTAACTAGGATCCCATCGTAAATATCAGAGAAAAATCCCATGTTTCTGCAATGGATAAGGGAAAAGGAAACAGCTGAGATACACTCCAAGGTCTGCCTTTCAGGAGAAACGAGTGAAGCAGAGCCTGGAATAACCAGGGCTTACAGACATAGAGGAAGGGAAATACTGAACTCCAGTCAGCTCTAGCCCTTGGTGTGGAGAAGAAAAATGCCCAACTCCAGCTGACCCTTACTGGCCTGTCTGATCATACAGAGAGAAAAAGTTGTGAATTATTGGAAAGATAATGAGAGAATCAACATCTGTGAAGATTATGTAACATCCTTCTTTTTTTGTCGGGGCTTGAATTCTGGGCCTGGGCATTATTCCTCAGCTCTTCAGCTCCAGGTGAGCACTCTACCACTTAAGCCACAACACCACTTCTGGTTTTCTGATGGTTAATTAGAGATAAGAAAATCTCTCAGACTTTCCTTTCTGGGCTGGCTTTGAACCACGATCCTCAGATCTCAGCCTCCTTAGTAGCTTGGATTACAGGCATGAGCCACTGGCACCCAGCTGGCATAATATACTTCTAATTAACACATGTGTAAGAGAAAAAAACTGATGTGAAATGCAGAAGTATTTTGAACTAAATGAAGATAAATCACAACTTAGCAAAATCTATGGGATGCAGCAGAAGCTATACTTAGAGGGAGATTAGCAGCACTGGATGTACAAATTAAAAAAGAAGAACCATAATCAAAGTTTCCACTATAGCAAACAAGGAATGTACAGCAAATTAAATCCAAAGTAAAAAGAATAAAAGAATAAGAATTAGAGCAGAAACCAATGAAATTGAACACTGGAAATAGCAAAAAAATTAAAAAAACTCAATTTTTTTTTTCTTGAAGAGTTCCATAAGATCAGGAAGTCTCTAGTTAGCTTAAGTAAGAAAAAAAAGTCTGGGTACAGTGACTTACACCTATAATCCCAATGATTGTGGAGGTATAGAATTAGGATGTGATCTGGCCTCAGGTAAAAACTCAAAACCCTATCTGAAAATTAAAGCAAAAAGGACTACAAGGGTGGATCAAATGGTAGAATGCTTGCCTAGTAACCAGATGGCCCTGAGTTCATACCCTGGTACTGCACACACATACAAAGAAAAAAAAAAGAACACGAACTACTAATATTAGTGATGAAAGAGAGCTGACTGCTACAGATTCTGTGATCATTAAAGGGGTAATACATAGTATGAACAACTCTATCAATAAATTTGATAGCCTCAGTCAAATAGACTGGTTCTTCCTTGATAGAACTTGACATTCATACAAGAAGAATAGACAATGGGTTAATGGAATAACAAATTGTGTTAATGCAGACAGTGGAATATTGTTCAGTTATAGAAAGATGTATGATCAAACCTCAAACAGGCATATAGGAACATACATGCATATTGCTGAGTAAAAGAAGCTCATGGAAAAAGGCTACACATTAGGATTCTAACTGTTGTTTTGATTAGACAAAACTGAATGTAGTAAAAGGGTGGTTTCCTGCTAGGGCTGAAGGGGAGGGTATACAAAAACAAGAGTAGAGGATTTGTAGGACAATGAAACAGGTTGGTTGTATACTACAGTGGAAACGTGCCAGTTTACATTTGACCAGACCCATAGACTGATGGAAACTGGTAGAATGTGATACACCAGTGTAAGTTCATCACTTGTGACAAATGTGTGTAACAGGGGTTGTTGATCATAGAGGAGGGTGTGTGAATATGGGGACAGGGAATAGGTAGAAAAATCTCAGTACAATCCCCTTCATTTTGCCATGAATCTAAGAAGGACCTAAAAAAAACAAAGTGGTTCTTTCAAACTTAGCTAATTCTACCTCCTTGGGTAAGCCTCAGGGAAGAGTTCTTACCTCCTCAACTTGGCTTAACGTTAAAATGACCTTTCATCACTTATATATTGACCCTTACACCCCACCGTTGCTAGTAATTCAATTTGAACTGCAATCTGGATCAGGTAAAATTCAGGTGAGAAGACCATGCTGAGTGCGGCCAGGGATGGAGGGGAAGGTATAAAAAGACAGCATAGAAGATTTTTTGCAACAGTAATAGTTTGAGTATAAGACTAATAAATTGAAACATACCAGGTACATATGGTTATGAAAGATTTCATAGTGATACTGAGAAAATAAATAAAAATGTTAAACTGAGCACTTTGAGATGATGTTGGGAATCATCCTGTTAACTCGAAAATTAAAGAATCATTTGTCCTGACTCTCCCATATTATCTGTATTACAGGGTGTCTAGCTTGTTAATGAGGGCAAATTTCTTAGTAGAGTAGATAATAAATTAGAATGGTTATCAGAGTGAAAGGATTGCCAGTTTGGAACTTCATTGCTTGATGAATCTAGGCAGTGATTTTCACTGGCTGCAATTATCACAGAACGAGAGATGACCAGATGTTATGGAGTTCCTGATGGAAGAACATGCCACCACATGGGGATTGGTGTTGCCAAAAACTCAAAAGCTGAATTAGCAGCAGATTTCCTATTCTCAGTACAGATCATCAGAAAATACAAGTAGTGACCATGTATTTTAATGCCTTAAGGGCTAAAATCAGTAAAATATAAGTCCTCAAACAGTCACTAAGACAAACAGTGAAATTAAGAGTACAGCTATAGAGTAGAAAACTTGTAACACACAAGCCAAGTCAAAAGTCTTTGTCTTGGGCTGGGAAGGTGGCTCAGTGGTAGAGTGCTTGCCTTGCATGCATGAGGCCCTGGGTTCAATTCCTCAGTACCACATAAGCAGAAGTGGCGCAATGGCTCAAGTGGTAGAACTCTAGCCTTGAGCTGAAGCGCTGAGGGACAGTGCCCAAGCCCAGAGTTCAGGCCGACAGAAAAAAAAAATCTTTGTCTTTTGTACATATATATAATGAACTATTTATGGTTGAAATAGTAAAGTATCTAAGATTTGCTTTAATTGGTACAAGTTAGTGGGCAGGTGTGGGACATAAGGTTGGCTATATGTTAACTGTTGAGGAATATAAAGATATAAAGGAATTCATGTTACTATTCGCTGTAGTGTTTATATATTGAAGTTCTATAAAGTTATTCATTCAACAAATGCTGTGTGTATTATACCATGCCCTGTGCTAATGCAGGTTTGATTTTGGTTGGTAAGTGAACATTAGATTGGCACTAGCCTTGTGGAATTTTCCAGTCTCTGGATGGCAGATGATAACGAGATACACATGATAGAGCTGTTGTTGTAGTGCATGCCTGCAATCCTAGCACTTGAGAGGCTGAGGCAGGATTGTGAGTGTGAGGCCAGCCTGCAATACAGAGTGAGACCCTGTTTCAAAAAAAAAAGAGAAATGGGTGAAGAGGAGGAGAAGGAGGAAGGGCAGAGTAAGGAAGGAGTATAGAAGGTGATTTATCATCTGTAGTGAATAGATGATAAGGAACTGTGGAAAAGGATCTAGGCTGGATGGAGCGGGCCTTTCTGAGATGGTGAAATGTAGTCAGGTTGGAAGGATGAGAACAGCAAGTCAACGGCTAGGTTATGGGAGGGGCAGGCAGGCACTCCCAGGAAGTACTTGATGAGAGTCTGCTTATTCTCTCTACTCTGAGAGCAAGTATCTTATTAACTAGCCACTTGTTGGTGTAACATTTCTTTTGTTGACTATGTTGTGCATTTCTGTGTGGCTACTCTTAAATCAAAGTAAAATACAACTCCACAATTGCTTCTAAGCCTGTCAGATTCACAAGCTCTGAATGGATATCAATGGCATATACCTTTTGATGAGTACTTTCTTACATACAGACTTTTCAAAAGATTGTCAAATCATACATAAGAATAGTCTCGTGTCTTTGAACAAAAGAATCAGAGATGAAAATGAAGCGTGTCTTCAGAGTCCTGGAAACTGGAGAAATATGTCTAGGGCCTGGCTCATATTTTGCTTAGATAGCGGCAACGAATTCTGTCCCTTTGTCACCGTTCTGGTGGCTGAGTAAAAAGGAATGGTTTTTCACGTGCCTGAATTTCTTACAATAACTAAAAGATGTTTCATTATTGTTATTTAAGTACCTTAGTTTGCCATGATAAATATGAGGCACAATGGGGAGGGTAATATTAAAGAAATAAATGATTGATACCCGGTGTAAACTTCCTGCCAGAGGCTCTCTTTGAGATCTCTACTGTACTTTTATCAGTAATTGTCTCATACAACAACTTTGTTCTGTTTTCTTAGACCATTTTAAAACACAGTTTTGTTTATTGCCTGGCCCATCTGCTAGTATTCTGGGCAGCCATGTTTGCGTGTGTGTGTGTGTGTGTGTGTGTGAGAAGTGGGCATTAGGAGGTGTTATTTTCCATAACATGATCACTTTCTTTCTGTTCCCCTCTCTTTAGACATATTACAGATGCCACACTTGCCATTGTGAAAGGAGAGACGGTACCACTTGATGTCTTAGAAATCAAGGTAAAATCTTTTGTATAGATTTTTTTTAAATCTTCAAAGTAATAAAGCCATATGCATGTTTTTTGTTTTTTGTTTTTGTCAGTCGTGGGGCTTGGACTCTGGGCCTGGGCACTCATATTCATGTTAAAAAAAAATAAACTGGGGGCTGGGAAGGTGGCTCAGTGGTAGAGCGCTTGCCTTGCATGCCTGAGGCCCTGGGTTCGATTCCTCAGCACCACATAAGCAAAAAGAAAAAAACCGGAAGTGGCGCTGTGGCTCAAGTGGTAGAGCGCTAGCCTTGAGCTGAAGAGCTGAGGGACAGTGCTCAGACCCAGAGTTCAGGCCCCACGACCGGACCCCCCCCCCCCAAAAAAAAAAAAAAAAAAAACTGGCTGGGTTCTGGTGGCTCATGTCTGTAATCCTAGCTATGCAGGAGGCTGAGATCTGAGGATTGTGGTTCAAAGGCAGCCCAGGCAGGAAAGTCTGTGAGACTCTTATCCCCAATTAACTGATAGAAAACCAGAAGTGATGTTGTGGCTCAAGTGGTAGAGCGCTGGTCTTGAGCCGAAGAGCTGAGGGATAGCGCCCAGGCCTAGAGTTCAAGTCCCATGACCACCACCACCACCAACAACAATAAATAAATAAATAAATAAACTGCAGTCATTCAAATGAGATTAATGTAATGAGCATCAAAGTCTTTCTTCCCTTCTTATCCTAAGTTTTAATTCCCACAGAAAAAAAATTGCCCGGTTACCATGAAAAGTTTTTGTTATCACTCATTAATATGATTATGAACTTATTTTTTAAAAATACTGTGGTAGGCAGTGAAGGCATAGCTTAGTGGTACAGCATGCTCTTAACATATTTGAGGCCCCTGGGTTTAATACCCAGGACAGTACAAAATAAATAAGTAACTACTATGGTAAAGGTCCATAACATAAAATTTACTGTTGTAATCATTTTAAATGTATACCTTAGTACTGTAAGCATGTGATGCTGCCCTTATATCAGTTTTGGAACTTACTTCTTGACCTCTATGGCATATTTAAGAATACCTCTATTTTTCTAATATAGTTCTCTCTCTTTAGTTATTTTACTGCTTACCTCCAACACAAGAAATTTTGCTACCTCCTGTAGTTGCTTTGAATATTCAGAGAACTCATACATATAAAATACTTGGGGTAGTGGCTGCTTGTGCATTGGTTTTCTGGATCTCCCATACTCTCCTAATGGCAAATGAAGCCTTTCTCTTGCCCCAGTGGAGCAGCTTCTCTTTCTTTGCAATTCAGGTTGCTCAGCTGTCTTTAGAATCTCAGCCCTCAGATGGGCCTGAGAAAAGTTCAGCCTTTGTAGATTATCTTTTTCTCTTTACAGTAGGAAGGATATCTCTGTGTAACTTTCTGCATCCCAGAAGGGAACAGAACTCCCCGTTTTTTGTTATATCAGATAATTTTAATTATTTAATGTTATAGCTAACATTTTCTTGTTGATCTATAATAAAACTTGCTAATTGGTTTGCAAATATGTTTGCTGGCTATGCCCACTGAAAGGACTTAGAAGCCATGATACCCTACAGTAATGAGCATACTTGTACCCAGATTTTGGTCTTTAAATACTATTCCCTAACAAAAATAGCCAGGACAAGAACAAAGCAAGACAACTCGAACACTGATGAGGACATCACAGAAAAATGAGAAGAGCCACCCTGGAAGGTCCTGAAAACTGACTTCGGAACCGTTTACATATCAAAAAGAATGATATCACTGATGGATTATAATGTTTTACATAAAAAATAAATGATCTCTAAATTCCCAGTAATTTCTAGCTTTTAAATGTAGAAGGAACGATAGATTATGAACATTATCAATCTTTTGGTCACAATTTTGATCATTTTCAAGTTGAGCTAATTAATGGATCCTAAAAGCAATAGAAAGCTGTTGGAAAATAAATATCCATTCAGTCTCAAAATTATTTATTAACAATTAAAAATGGAAGAATATGTCTTTTTTTTTTTTTTTTTTTTTTTTGGTTGGTTGGTCGTGGGGTTTGAACTCTGGGCTTGGGCACTGTCCCTCCGCTCTTCAGCTCAAGAGCAGTGCTCTACCACTTGAGCCACAGCGCCACTTCCGGTTTTCTAGTGGTTTATTAAAGATAAGAGTCTCACGGACTTTCCTCCCAGGCTGGCTTTGAACTGCGATCCTCAGATCTCAGCCTCCTGAGTAGCTAGGATTACAGGCGTGAGCCCACTGGCACCTGGCAGAATGTGTCTTTAGAGTATAGAAATCTGGCATATTGCTACCTGTCAAAATAATCAAATTTAACATCACCAACAATTGAGCAAACTGACATTATCTACCTCCTGATGTGATAACCTTTGGTATCCAATATTGCTTATGCAATTTTCAGCTCAAATGCTACTCTCGATCTAATCATGAAAAACCAATTCCTGAGATAGTCTATCCTCTTTTTAAAAACAGAGTTATGAAATACAAAAGAAAGTAGACAGTTCATTCAAGATTAAAGGAAATTAAATGTCACTAAATCCAGTAAAAGATCTTGGGTAGGAAAATGATAACCATTGGCAGTTATTATGGACTTGAAAGTTTTTGCCTTCTCGGGAATTATTAAAACAATTAAAATATTTTAAAATGAAAGATAGCATCTACAATGCTTAATTTCTTAAGAGTTATTGTCATACCTGTATATATCATTGCTCTCAGACGATGTATGCTAAAATGTTAGAATGTGAAGTCTGCAACTTTTTTCCATTTAACAACACTGCAAACATAAACACACATACACACACACAGATAAGGCTTATATAGGAAGATGCTGGCAATGGTGAATTTAAGTAAGAGATCTAAATGGTATTCATTTTATTATTTAAGTTTTTGTCATGTCTTTTTTTTCAAAATAAAAATTTGAGAGAGGGAAAGGATGAAAGCCATTTTCAATTCTTGATCAAGATCTTCTCTTAAGAAAGAATTTGGGGGGAAAAAAAGATTTTAAAGGACTGGGAAAGTGGCTCAGTGGTAGAGTGCTTGCCTTGCATGCATGAGACCCTGGGTTCGATACCTCAGCGCCACATAAGCAGAAAAAGCTGGAAGTGGCGCTGTGCTCAAGTGGTAGAGCACTAGCCTTGAGCTGAAGAGCTGAGGGACAGTGCCCAGGCCCAGAGTTCAGGCCCTATGACCGACAAAAAAATAAAAAGAAAAAAGGAATTTAAGAGTTCAAGTGATATAATTCCTTAGAAAAACAAACTAACAGTCAAAACGAATACCAGAAAACTGGCTCTTAAGAGGTGTGTGGGGACAGTCAAGGGGAGTGGGGAAGTAGATGAATGTAGATGAGAAGAATGCAATCATAATATTCAATGCATATCCTATGAAACCAAGAAAATTGAGGGGAATGGCTGGATTTGGACAGATGAGGGAGAATGATGGAAGGGGTGACATCCATCAAGATGCACTGTGCTTATAAACTAATTTGCCAAATGGCAACTCCTATGCACAGCTCCTTAAAGATACTAAAATACATTTTTTTTAGCAAAGAGGTAATTCCTACAAGGCAAATATTTTCAGTTAGATAGTGGTTAAGTAACTAGTTTTTCTTCATCTAATTATTTTTCATTTTTTCTTGCTCCCTCCCTACCCACTAAAGAGTACATTCCCGAAGAGACAAAACCATGAAGTTAGATCACCCATCCTATAAATAGTGAGCCCTATGTAATCTTTATTTAGGTTTGACTTCAATGTACCATGTATATTGAGGATGAGCATTTTTTACTCATTGGTTACTTGGTATTTGCAAAAGAAGGTTCCACATTGTACCATGATTCTAAATTTTATTTCCCCAGACTTGCTGTAAATTATACTGGATGAATATCCCTAAGTTCAAAATCCAAAATCCTACAAACTTCAAAATCTGAAATTTAGGATCATTTCAGATATCAGATTTTGAATTTTTGGACTAAGGATGTTCAACCAGTAAAGTCTATGTAAATGTTTAAAAATCTGAAAAATCCAAAATCGGAATGCTTCTGATACCAAGCACTTTGAATAAGGGATATGTGCATGTTTATAGTTGCTGAGATAAGTGTACTATTTTTTTGCCTTCTATTTTCTTTTCTTCTTTATGCAGCAATGTCAAGATTCTCCACCATGACCAATCTTTGTGGTCATGACAAAAGTAATTTAATTTGTAGTTGATATTCTAGTATATAATAAAGATGTACTGAAAGAAAAAATACTACCGATTCTCACTTAGGAAGATATTGTTTAAAACTACAGTTATTACCAAAGGAGGTGAGTCAGGATGTATCTTCTAATAACAGTGATTTACTGCTGTTTTATATATATATTATATATATTATATATTACATATATATGTTAGAAGTGATACATTTCAGAAGAATTAAATTTTAACTGGAAATTCTTGCTGTGCTTGCATCTGAACGATTCTTGTGTCCTGAGCCTTCTGTATTTTTCTTTCAAATAGACTGATTTTGTGAATTGATTAAACGAGTGTCAGATTTACCACAGGCTTTGTGTATTGACGACACAAAGCCAGGAAGCAGAAAACTTTCAGATTAATTCCCAGAAACATCATATAACAGCCTTGACTCTGCTTTCTGAAGAACCCAGCTAGGTTTAATTTATTTTCTCTTTTCTCCTTATTTCTGGAAATTGCTTTCAGAATATGGAGGAAATCACTGTAGATAAAACCTGATACCGTAAGCATTATAGACAAAGCCTGACACCAAATTCTTCATCTTTTAAAAAGCAACTTAATGTATTAGTAACTGGAGATTCTCTAAAGGTAAGATAGAGTCCTGAAATGTAACTGTTCAGTGTGCTTTTACATCTCCACTGAACCACCAACTTGGTGAGGAAGTCAAGATATGTATTAGTATCCTCACTTAACATATATACCTATTTGTATTTATCTCTCTCTATATATATCATTGGGTCATATCGCTTGTTGTGTGGGAGTCAGGGCTGTAATCTAGATTTTCTGCTACATAGTCATCTGTAGCTTTTACCTTTCACTGCTTGGTTCAGAAAATATCACACCTATCACTATCCCCCTCTTTTTTTATTTTGGTCAGTTGTAGAGCTTGAACACTGGGCCTGAGCATTGCCCCAAAACTTCTGAGCTCAAGGGTAGAACGATACCACTTTAAGCCACAGCACCACTTTTGGTTGTCTGATGGTTAATTGGAGATAAGAGTCTTACAAGGAGGGACTTGTCCGCCTGAGCCGGCTGTGAACCATGACTGTCAAATCTCAGCCTTCTGAGTATGATTACAGGCATGAGTCACCTATGCCCAGCTTATTCCCTGTCTTAAAGAGCAATTTATTCCAGTATAAACATCCGTAATACTCTACTAGTTATTTTTGCATAGCAGTAACCAACATACCTGGGAAGACAGCTTGAAAGAGAAAGATTTATCTGGGCTCATGGTTTCAGTCCACAGTTCCTGGCTCCATTGATTTTAGGCCTAGGGGGAGCAGAGCACCATGGTGGTGGGAGACACAGAACATCCTGTGGAGAAGGAAGCAGTTGACCTCGTAGCAGAGAGAGGGAGGAAGGCAACGGGTACATCTCCAACCTGGGAAGGCTATGAGTTTGGCAGCATGTTTCCCTCAGTTTGAAGGTGTGGCTCTGTGCCTCTGTTTTTCTTTATTGACCTGCCCATCTCATAACCTGTGCATCCCAATGGACTAATATGGCGACGCTTTGTTGGCTTAATCTCTGTCCAGCTAATCATGCTTCTTTTGCCCATGCTCGTGTATACCTCCGCAGGGACTCATCTCCAGTACTGACCATAGGCCCTTCAGAGCCATCACATCTCATGTCTCTGGCTGTTGGGCTTCTCTACAGCTCTTTGCACACATTCGGGCTGGTTGCCTATTATGTTATCCAGAGCCATTTCCACCTTTAGCTAGGACATAGCTCTCCACATCAAAGGAGTCTTGTGGTTACAAGGCTTTTCCATCAATCCTTAGAGAATATTTGTAAAAGTCCTAAAAATCCCTGAAAAGGGAGTTAAGTTAGGGCACGGATCCACGTGTTGAGGCCTGACGGCTCCTTCACTCTTGTTTAGGCTGCATTGTTTTAGAACAGCAGCTCCCAGGGAGTGCTCCTTGCATACAGAAGACCTCTCAGGGGTTGGGAAGGTGGCTCAGTGGTAGAGCGCTTGCCTTGCATGCACGAGACCCTGAGTTTGATTTCTCAGCACCACAAAAGCAGAGAAAGCCAGACGTGGCACTGTGGCTCAAGTGGTAGAGCACTAGTCTTGAGCTGAAGAGCCGAGGGACAGCGCCCAGGCCCAGAGTTCAAGCCCCACGACCGACAAAAAAAAAAAGTCCTCCCAGAGAACAATTGGCATTTAACAACTCAGGAAAACCTGCTTGCTCTGTTCTCCTTCTGGAAATGTATAATATACATGAACATACTGACAACCTTAAGATAATGTCGGAGGTTTGTTTTCCCCAGCTCATCCTAATGCTTGGTATTATTTGAACTGTTTCTGTTACCTTGTTACTGTCTGTAGCTGTGTGTCCTTGGCTGTACTTTAAGCTTTGCCTCTTGTAGAAGGCTTGGTCCAGAGTTGGGGGTTCAATAAATATTTATTGGGGAGACAAATGAAAACAATTACTTGAAGAGAATTGCTGTGGGATTAGAGTGAGAGGAACTAAATTGCAGGGCAACTCTGTCACCTAATTTTGTGATTAACAGTAGTAATTTTGGTGACTTAATTAGAGATAAAATGTATGTACTGGCTATTGCCACTCAGTGTGCTGCTAGGAGGTGAGGATATAGAACCATATGGAGAAGTATGATCACCAAGGAAAGATGACTCAGTCTTCACAAGTGGGACCAGCGTCCAGCGATTAAACTTCCTAACACCACTTAGGTGTTGTGTGAGGCTTCTCATGTCAAAACAGTTATTCCAAGTTACAGTGCCATTTTATGAGCCCTCAGTGAGCAGCATGTAATGTTTCTGAGAGATAATGTGGTCTTTACATGGTTGCTTAGCCTTTATAACACTGTGGCTTCTGTCAAAACCATTGGTGTCATCCTTGCCTCTCCACCCGCAGGCAGCTAGGAGCTCTTGATGGCTATCTTCAGAATATGCCTAGAGTCCAGCACTTCTTCCCAGTGCTCTTGTACCCATGCAAGTCCTGGAACCTTCTTCTGTCTGGATTGTTACAGGTCCTCTTCGGTCTCCCATCTTCCCAGGCCTCTTTGTGGTCCGTCTTCAGTGTAGTCACAGGCTGTGGTATATTACTTTTCTGTACAAAAGCAAAGTCATTCAAAGGTCCTCAAGGCCAGATACAGTGTGGTTCCTGTCATTTCTCTGGCCTTATTGGTGCTGCACATGTGCTTGCTGTTTGTGTTCAAATGTCTCCAAATCTATGATAGCTTTTCTCATCTCCTATCCATTAACAATCACCCCTCCCCTCAACATCTTTGGAATATCTGGTTTTTCATTCCATTCTTTCCTTTTTATGTTATTTCTAGCTCCCCTGCTATGGATGCGTAGAAGGATTAGAGGGAGATCTTTATCCCCAGCAGGTGCTACTGTACCTCCCTCTTGTTGCTGATGCCTCAGTGCCTCTCTTAACAGCTTCATTTGTGAGTTCTTGGAATGTCTCCCAATACAAGAGTTTTGAGGTTGAGTATTATTGTAGCTCCACTGCCTTCATCTCCCTCCCCAGCCCCCAAGCTCAGTGGCCTACCCAGCCTCTTGATGCTTGGGCACTGTGGCCCCTGTGCTAGTCTCTTAGATGAGTCACAAGATGACCCAAAGCCCTGCTGCATCCCACAGTGTCCACTTGTCATTTCAGAGACTAACATGTTCTCTTTACTGTCTGTCACCTCCTTGCTCTGCCATCCCATAGTCTAGGTGCCTTTTCCATTGCTTATGCAGGTACAAACAACAGAAAGGCCAGTGCCCTGTCAGAACAGATACTGAACAAAGGGCTAAAAGGCCAGTGCCTCTCCATATGGTTGGTTGGGTATAGTAGGCAGAGAGTGAGAGGCAGAAGTGAGCAGAAGGCGGAACGTGCTTTCTCAAGGCCAGCAACTTCCAGGGCCTCCCCCTTACCCCCAGGTTTTAAACTTAGCTTATGCTAGTCATGGTGGTTAATGGTGTGGAAGAAATAGAGATGGTTCTTCTGACATTTAGAAAACTAGAGTTGTGTCCAGCAACTATCTTCAAAATGTAGAGGTGTCCAAGGTCTATACTTTTCAGCTCTTGGGATACGGCTAGTTGTGTTGTTCAGCCTTATAGCGAATATGTTCCTAGCCAGCAGATCATGAATCTGCTTGTGAGACCTACTACATAAAAATTAATTTTATTAGCCAGGTGCTGGTGGCTCACACCTGTAATCCTAACTACTCAGGAGGCTGAGATCAGAGGATTGTGGCTCAAAGCCAGCCCAGACAGGAATGTCTGTGAGACTCTTATTGCCAGTAAACTACTAGAAAACTGGAAGTGGCACTGTGGCTCAAGTAGTGGAGTGCTTGCTTTGAGCTGAAGAGCTGAGGGACAGCACCCAGGCCCAAAGTTCAAGACCCACAACTGACAAAAATAATAATTTTATTTTTGCAGTGTGGATTGTCCAAGTACTCTTCCAGCATGCTTTTAAGATTAATTTTTCTTGAATATTGAATCATGTATATTTAGAAATAGGCTGTGAACAATTTGCTCTGGATACTTCACATTTAGAATATTCTGATGTTACTGTACTTACAAAGCTAAAGCAAATGTATTTAATTTCCAGGGTGAAAAAGAACAACCCGTGTTTGCAATGACTGGCCTTCGCTGGGGCTCCTTCAGAGATGCTGGCGTCAAAGTTAGCAAGTAAAGCATTCCTCTGCTGATGTGGGATGATTGTAAAAGCCTTCTGTCCCTGACTTTGAGATTTTAATACACAGTGCTCTGGGAATAAATCTGGAGGTCTAGCTGGGTATGAATTATGAGGTAGGAATAGTCAAGTCACAGTTTGCATCCTATATGCAGAAAGGCCAAAGAAAATTCCAGTTTCCTCAACACTAGCATGGTGGCAGCCAGGGAGAAGGATACATCCCTGTTTTTAGACATAACATTGGAGTGTAGTTTAGGCTCAAGCTGAACTGAAGAGAAAACTGTCATCTGGCTGTCATCTGGCTGCAGGCTTAGCAAGGTATCAAGTGGAAGGTGCTGCCTGGTCTCAGCCATGTATAGTTGGTTGGAAAACTGCTCAGAGGTGTTTTTTTGTTTTGTTTTGTTTTGTTTATGATGTCATAGATTGAGGCCACAGGCTCCCCGCTCTTAGAGACAGAAGAAAGGCGGAAGCTTAGCTGTGTTATGAGGTGGAAGGGCTGGCCTATAGAGATGACTAGAGGGTCACTGCTGACGTCCATGGCAGTAGCCTTCGTTTTGGAGAATCTATTATATGAAATGAGACCCATGGCTTGGCAAGACAGTGTGTCTTTGGAGTCATGTGGAGAGGGAGTACAGGCCGTGGCACACTTTATTCCTGATGGCTATACTTTTTCCTTATCCTGAAGCCTCGGGCTCCTAGCTTTAGTATGGTTGAGCTGAATTAGGATTGGTGAACACACACAACTCTCTCATCAGGAAACCCCTCCTGCACTTTGTAGGCCGCCCTGTCACACTTCCTTCATAGAAATTTCTCCTGTGTTTCATTTCATTGTTCCTGCTAATAAAATTCCTGACTGTGGAATATCAAAAGAGAGATACTGCTGTATTGCATTACACATGGCAGTCTTAAATATTTCATATCATTTTTTTTTGCAAACATGCCATGATTATGTTGATTTCACAAATTGCATTGGGTTTGCTCTGAAATCTCATATTCCCCCAGAGCTCACCAAGAGGAATTGCTCTGCTTTCTCTGAGAGTCTAGTGGGAACAAATTGCTTTCCAAAATGTGTTAATCAACAACTAAGCACAGCTGTCTAAAGGCACCTCCCGTTCTTTGACTGGATTTCAAGCATTTAATAGCAAAATTTGGTGGTGGTTATAGAATACCTTGGCCAGCTCTGGCCAGCCACTGAGTTATTTTTTGTGTAAAACAAGGACACAAGAAATCATTCCCTAGCTGGCCATGGGAAGACTGCGAGCATAGTGTCAAGATTTACTGCTGGTAGAGGTGAAGGGAACTGCTGACAATTTAGAAATAAATTGCCTGAGTCAGGATGTTTTTCTACTTGGCTAACTGGGAAAAGTAGCAAACTATAAAGTAGCTTAGAAAACAAAACAACCACCACCACCACAACAACAAAAATCAGATGACCAAGGTCCTCATCAGTAGCTCTATCAGCTGTATTATCCTTAATAATAACTTAGAATGTTCCACATTGCCCATTGTTATATGGATTATATCTGAAAATATCTATTCTCAATTCCAGGTCCAGTTACTGTGTCATTGACCCTAGCTATATAATTATGCATGGTTTTGTTTTAGGCTTTCCCTAAAGCCTGAAATGGTTGTTGTTTGATTGTTAATCTGTTTTCCATATCCTTGCTCCTGCCTTGGGTGATCTCCTTCCCTGTTCCATACATAAACCCACCCTGTGCCAGACGTTGTCCAGGCTCCATGCCTCACTTTATTCTTGTGCTATTCATTTTACATGTATGGCTGCTCCTATGATTTTAGACCTTTTGTCCCTTCTTAACTCCCCTTACCATGAAATTGTGTTCAGGTTATACCATGACACATATAGTAACTTATTACTTAACCTTCGCAAATCATAAAAGTTGGAAAAGTTATACTGTCTATGTCTTCTGTATACTTTATCTTCCCTCCATGGACATAGTATAAATAGCAGTTAAGAAGGGATGACTGATAACAGAATTTTAAGAGAAGAATCTACTTTGTTGTCACTTTTAAATTCCAAACTAGGCATCTCTCTCTCTCTCTCTCTCTTTCTCCCCAGTAGCTTTTAGGTATTTAGCAATACACAGATCCTCTTCACCTCCATACTTAAAACTTGCTATGGTAAAGCTGTATAACATGAGTGGTGCAATCTCATACTAGTTTACTCATTTTAATTGTGTGTGCTTTGTTGGTGAGAAGGATGTATGGCACAGGCTCCGTCCTACAGTCCATGACATATTGATTGTGCAGAAACTGCACTGTCTCCATGTAGCTTCATCGTCCTGTCCTTGTGGCTCTTTTGACTACACACTCAACTGTATTTTATGATTTAAAAATCATCGTTATAGTGACACTTGTGAATTTAGGAAACTCAAGTAGACTCTGGTTTTACTTCTAAGTGGCAAGAACCTACTATCTCACCACATACCGTGGGACATGGTATCAAACTGCAGGTTTAAAATTTAGTGTTGAGCCACATCCTCAAACCCTCTAGAGCAGCAAATCTTAATTTTAATGTCTTATCTGTCATGATATATTTTAATCTGGTTTTTATTGTGGTCCTTCTCAGGTACTGGTATCTTGGGCCTCTAAAAATCAAAGCAGCTCACTTTTTCAGCACTCTTCAGGTAAATACCACTTAAAACTTGCCCTGTGTTATTTTGTTGGTTCTTTGCAATGTGTATATTTGAGATTTTTCTAAAATTTCTTGCTACAGGTGCATGTCACATGATCTAACACTAAAATCGCAGTTACAGAAAGCTTCTTGTTTTCTTTTTTATGATTTTTTTATTGTGAAAATACTGTACAGAAAGCTACAATTACATGGGCAAGATAATGAGTACATTTCTTATCAAGCATTGTTGCCTCCTCCTTTGTTTCCCCCTCCCATCCCTTCCCATCTCCCCCTACTCCCCCCTCCCGCCCCCTGCCTGCCAAAGTTGTAAAGTTTGTTTTCCAACATAATGACTTGTTGTTGCAATGAGTCCACCTGTATCCCTATTTGAATGATTTGTTTTTTTCCCTTCCCCTCCACAAATTATACCAACATAAAATACAGTGAAAGCAGGGGTTATATAGTAGGGGAGGGACATACAAAGCAACAAAGAAATCATCTTATAAATATGTTAGAAACAATCACATGAAAGAAAAAACATTTGAATGCTTACCTTGGGGTTCATTTCCTTGACATCAACTTATCTGACCTTTTCTGCTTGTCTCAGACATATACTAGTTATTGCAGATAAGGGAAACCATGGGGCCTATGTTTCTTTGGGCCTGGCTTACTTCACTTAATATAATTTTTTCCAAGTCTTTGCATTTCCTAACAAATGGGGCAATGTCATTCTTTCTGACAGAGGCATAGAATTCCATTGTGTATATATACCACATTTTCTTGACCCATTCATCTAGTGAGGGGCATCTGGGTTGGTTCCACATCTTAGCTATGGTAAATAATAGCTTCTTGGTTTCATAAGTAATAATTGTTCAAATACATATTCATTCCCTCCATGACCAAATCCATATTGAATTTCTCCTTGATACTTCCCTTCCCTTTGCTATTTATTAACTCACCCTTGTCAGACAAATTTTGAGCAGAATAGCATTACTTGCATATATGTCTATATTAGTATGTAGCAGTGAGTTGAAGATTTATACTAGGAGATATGTAATTGTACAGGCTTGTATATAAGATCAGTAGGCTTCAAATTATACTACCTAAAGATGAGTAGTGACTACCATGCTGGGCTGCACAGGTCGAGAACATTTCTATCATCAGAGGAATTTCTTGGGAACAGTGCTACTATATGCTGAACATTTAAAAAAAAATTAAGGGTAGGGAGCATAACACAGTGGTAAAGCCTGAATTCAATTCTCAGTACCACAACCATAACAAAATATAGCAATTTTTAAAAGTTGGCATAGAAACTCTAGAATTAATTTCAATTATGATTAATTATTAATGGAAAGTATTAAGGAAAATGCAAGCGGGACACTGGTAGCTTACACCTATAATCCTAACCACTAAGGCTAAGATCTGAGGATCAAGGTTGAAGCCAGCCCACGCAGTTAAATTCTTGAGATTCTTTTTTTATTATTATTAATGTTTTTTTTAATTGTGAAAATACGGTACAGAGGGGTTACAATTACATGAGCAAGGTAATGAGTACATTTCTTATCAAGCATTGTTGCCTCCTCCTTTGTTTTTCCCTTACCATCCCTGCCCTCCCATCTCCATGACTATATTCCCCCCCGACCCTTCTACCCCCCTAAGTTCTTGAAATTCTTATCTCTAATTAACTAATCAAAAGCTGGAACTAAATGTATGGCTCCGGTGATAGAGTGCCAGCTATGAGCAGAAAAAGCCAGTTGTGATTGTGAGTTCAGGTCCCAGTACTAGTGCATGCACACACACACACACACACACACACACACACACATACACACACACTAAAATAGAAAACTATTAATAGAAAAGTCACCCCTAACTATATACTATGTATAACTTTTATGCAAATTGAAATAGAATTGTCTATTTGGCTGGCTAATCTGAAAACTAGTAGTGAGAAACTTGTTTCTAGTATTAATATGAAAAATTATTGGTAAGCTGGGTGTTGGTGGCTCATACTTGTAATCCTAGCTACTCAGGATGCTGAGATCTGAGGGTTACAGTTTGAAGCCAGCCTAGGTGGGAAAGCCCATGAGACTCTTATCTCCAATAAACTACTCAGAAGAAGCTGGAAGTGGCTCCATGGCTCCAGTGGTAGAGCGCTAGCCTTGAGCACAGATGCTCAGTGACAGTCCAGGCCCTGAGTTCAAGCCTCAGGACTGGCAAAAAATAAATAAATAAATTGATAATATATGTCCATTGGAAAACATAGGTTCCCTTAACTTTCCAGAAAATTTTCAATCAGAATAAATAACTAAGTGTGAAAGTTGGAAATCATTAAAGTAAGAGAAGTAAATCTACATAACTTTCAAAGTCTACTTGGGAAGGTAAAGGTAGTTTACCTAGGAAAACTGGATTTGTGTAATATCTCTTTATTCAAGGGAATAATCTCATTGGTGGAATGGTAAGTCCATTCAGGGAGAAACATTTTCTACATGGTGGTGTACCAGCAAGTATAAACTTCCTCACCATTTATTCAACAAGCAATTACTGACACATGCTTGAGATTCAAAGCCAAAGAGCAGGCTTTTTGTCCTCAAGAAGTGTTCAAGAGCTGGAGAGAAGTCAAATAAATCAGCAGTTTGGAAAGTGGTAAGAAATAGCTGTGGAAGGCTAAAACAGTATGAGGAGGAGACACGTCTAAATCTGAGGATGAGAAAGTCTGTCTAGGGAAGGTGACACATTAAGTTTAGAAGTATACATGGGACTATATAAAAATGTTGGTGGAGAGACAAGGTGTGTGAAGTCACTGTAGTAGACTCTGGTCATTAATTGCAGTTGACACGGTAGGAAGCTAGAAAATCAAGGTAGAGCAAGTTAGGGCAGGCTTCAATCTGAGGTCCAACTTTTATCCTTACAGCTTTAGGGAGTTTGTGAGTCTTAAGCTGAGGTGCAAAATTAACTGATCTGCCTTTTGAGGAAATCGTTTGGCAGCAGTGTGGAAAAGAAATTGGACATAAGTAGCCAAAGGCAAAGAGAGCAGATAGATTAGTGAAAGATCCAATGATGAAGGTAGAGCACATGAAGATGTGGAAGAATGCTAACACCAGTAATCCTAGCTGCTCAGGAGGCTGCACTGCAGTCTGAGGATCACAAGTCAAAGGCAGCTCAGGCAAACAAATTAACAAAAAAAGCTGAAACTGGAGGCATGGCTCAAGGAGTAAAGTTCTAGCCGTGAGTGAAAAAACAAATACAAGGCCCTGAATTCAAGAGAAAAAAAAAGTGTGAACTTCAAGTAACTATAGCAGAGAGTCTAAATAAAAGCAACAAAATGTCAATGACATTTGGTAGATATCAGTGTGTTTACTTACAAGAGATGGGGTATGGAGAGGGCCAAATTGAAGACAGTTAAGGAACAAATAGGAGGGGGGCAAAGAAGTGGAGATGGTTTAGCGGTATGACTCCGTGGTAAGAGCACCCACTTAGGGAGCACGAGACCCTACCAGTACCACCAGGAGAATAAAAAAGAGTAGAGGAGACAGCAAGAGTAGGCTTTAAGAAGACTTCAAGAAGAAGAAGGCTTCTTCAAGACTTTGAAGAGGAGATAGAAACAGCAAAAGCTGTAGAGAATTGTAGAAGTCAATGGAGTGTTAGATTTTTAATTGGAGAAATACCCTGTCTTCATACCCTGAATCAGGAAGAGATGATGAGAAAGACAGAAAACATGTCGGAGTTAGCAAAAATCCATGAGCAGGTAGAAGGTGGAGAGGTGGAGAGGCAGGATGCTGTCAAGTACTTAATGTGCTCATTGAAGCAGTCTTCTGAACATGAAGTGAGTGGCAATGATGTGGTGACGGCATGGAAGATCTGATGATGACATGAAAACAGTATGAGGATTTTCCAGATGATGAGAACAGAAACTGTGAACTAAAGAGTGTGATGTTGGGGGTGGGGAGGCTTCTTCCTTCTTACAGTGCTGGGTTCTGGTATGAGAGTATAGAAAGATTGATCTAGAATTGAGCTTTTCAAGGTACTCGTTATTAGAAGAATAAAGACACAAAATGGCTTCTAGCTCATGAAATAATGAAAGCAGACCTAATTTGCTAAGTTTTGAATCCTGAAGAATAAAATTAACTTATTAATTGTAATAAAAACAAAAATAATAAATTTTTTTAAAAAAAATTGGGCAGCTTCAGTGAAGAAACAGAAAACACATCACAGTTGCTGCCAGACAGGATGTTAGGGCAGGTCAGACCCATTGGTCCTTCTAGATAGGAAAAGAATAAGTATTATAGTTAGAAAAACCAACGTTGTCTTACTTATTATTCATTTATTCATTTTGGTATTGGTGCTGGGACTTGAACTCAGGGCTTAGGCACTGTCCCTGAGTTTTTGTGCTCGCACTCTGCCAATTGAACCACAGCTCTACTTTCAGCTTTTTTTTTGTTTTTGGTCATTCATGGGGCTTGAACTCTGGGTCTGGGCGCTCTCCCTCAGCTCTTCAACTCAACGTGAGCGCTTTACCACTTGAGACACAGTGCCACTCCATTTTTCTGGTGATTAATTGGAGATAAGAGTCTCACTGACTTTTCTGCCTAAGCTGGCTTTGAACTGTGATCCTCAGATCTCAGCCTCCTGAGTAACTAGGATTATAGGCATGAGCCACCAGCGCTCCTCCAGAATTGTTAGTATTTTTTTTTAATTTAATTTAATTTTTTTTGTGAACATACTGTACAGAGGGGGTTACAATTACATGGGCAGGATAATGCGTACATTTCTTATCAAGCATTGCAGCCTCCTCCTTTGTTTACCCTTCATATCCCTTCCCAGCCTCCCCCCCACCCCCCCACCCAATCCTCCCCCCCACCCCCCCCACCCCCCCGCACCAACGTTGTAAAGCTCGTTTTCGACATGACAACTTGTACTTCTCATTGTTGCAACAGGTCCACCTGTATACTTAAACAACTTGTTTTTCCCCATCTCCTCCACAAGTTATACTGACATCAAATATAGTGAAAGCAGGGGTTATACTGTGGGGGAGGGACATACAAAGCAACAAAGAGATAATCTTATAAATGCGTTAGAAACAAATGCATGAAATAAAAAAGCATTAAAATACATATCTAAGGGTTCATTTTCCTAACTTCACATTATCTGACCTTTTCCGCTTGACTCATACATATACTAGATATTGCAAATAAGGGAAACCATGGGACCTATGTTTCTTTGGGCCTGGCTTACTTCATTTAATATATTTTTTTTCCAAGTTTTTCCATTTCCTAACAAATGGGGCAATGTCATTCTTTCTCATGGAGGCATAGAATTCCATTGTGTATATATACCACATTTTCTTGATCCATTCATCTACTGAGGGGCATCTGGGTTGGTTCCATAACTTAGCTATGGTAAATAATGCTGCAATAAACATAGTTGTGCTGGTAGCTTTAGTGTGGTCTTGTTTGTAAACATTTGGGTAAATGCCCAAAAGTGGGATTGCTGGGTCATAGGGGAGCTCTATGTGAAGTCTTTTCAGGAACCTCCATACTGCTTTCCAAAGTGGTTGAACAAGTTTACACTCCCACCAACAATGAAGTAAGGTTCCCTTCTGTCCACATCCCCTCCAGCATCTATTGTTGTTAGAGTTCTTGATTATAGCCATTCTAACTGGGGTGAGGTGGTATCTCAATGTTGTTTTGATTTGCATTTCTTTTATGGCTATGGAGGTTGAGCATTTCTTCATGTGTCTATTGGCCATCCTTCTTTCTTCTTCAGAGAAGTTTCTCTTCAAGTCTTTCGCCCACTTATTTATTGGGCAGTTGTTTCTTTGAGGATTTGTTGTTGGGGGATTTAATTTTTTGAGTTCCAAGTATATTTTAGATATGAAACCCTTGTCCGTTGTATGGCTAGTGAAGATCTTCTCCCAATCTGTGGGCTTTCTATTGATCTTGCTAGCTATGTCCTTTGCCATGCAGAAGCTCTGCAACTTCATGCAATCCCATTTGTCCAACCTTTCTTTGATTTGTTGTGTTTCCGGGTCTCTGTTCAGAAAATTTTGGCCGGAGCCAAGGAGACCTAGGGTTTTTCCTATTCCATCCTGTAATGTTTTCAGAGTGTCTGCTTTGACTTCGAGGTCTTTGATCCATTTGTAGTTGATTCTGGTGCAGGGTGATATATAAGGATCTAGCTTTAGTTTTCTACAAGTAGTTAACCAATTTTGCCAGCACCATTTACTGAAGAGGCTGTCTTTCTTCCATTCTATTGTTTTAGCTCCCTTATCGAAGATTCGATGGCTATAGGTCTGTGGTTTCATTTCTGGATTTTCAATTCTATTCCATTGGTCCTGAGGTCTGTTCTTATGCCAATACCAAGCTGTTTTGATTACTATGGCTTTATAGTAGAGTTTGAAATTTGGTATTGATATTCCTCTAGCAGTGTTCTTTCCTTTGAGGAGCGTTTTTGCTATTCGGGGTCTTTTATTGTTCCATATGAATTTTTGGATTGCCTCTTCTATTTCCTTGAAGAATGAGGTTGGAATTTTGATAGGTATGGCGTTGAATTTGTAGATAGCCTTGGGAAGTATTGCCATTTTCACGATGTTAATCTTTCCAATCCAGGAGCATGGGAGGTTTTGCCATTTTCTAAGTTCTGTTTTGATTTCCTTTTTCAAGATTTTAAAGTTTTCATCATAGAGGTCCTTCACTTCTTTGGTTAAGTTAACAAAATTGTTAGTATTTTTATATTTACCTCATGGTAACTGAAGAACAGGAAGGTAACTCAGTATAACAGACAAAGGGGGCACAAAAGACTCAACCAGAGGATGGTGCAGTGTGATTAGAGCGTAGGATATCAGGTATATTAGATTTTTGCACCATGTGACCAAATACTGGAGAGAAGCAAGTAAGGGGAAAAAAATTCAGAGGTAGCAGCGGACTTGGCAGAGCAGTGCAGTTCACATCATGGCAGCCAGGAAGAAGAGAAAAAGAAGAAACAGAGACTAGGACTAATCTGTCCCAAAGGACATCCCCCTGGTGACTGACTTCCTCTGCTAGATTGTACCTGTTCTTTCCCCCTTCCCAGTAATGCCATCCTATTACGAATGTGCCAAGTAGTCAAATCATCTCTGGAAACAACTCACAGACCTACCCAAAAGTGGTTCACTAATCTCCTAGGTGTTTGTTGAGTTCCGCCAACTTGACAAGGAAGATTAGCCATCACTTTAGGGGTGTCCGTGTTCAAGATGGAATAGTTGGGCATAGTAATGAGAGTCAGGGTGTGACAAATTAGGCTAAAAATCTGGAGGGTGGTTTTAATTTTTCCTGTAGGTGGATCCAAGATGTTACTGGATTTGGGTGCTGGAAGGTAGATTTCAGAACCTCCAGTGAGAATGATGGGTTTTGATGCTGAAGCAAGGGCCTTGGGCTGGATTTGGATTGCGAGGTTGAGCTGAACCATTTTGGCTTCTATGTAGAGTGTGATTCCAGAGGTGAGGTAGATATTTGAGGCAACTAGATTTCAATAGTTTCAATTTCATGTCACAGGATAAGCACTCATGGATTCCTTCCTTCCTTCCTTCCTTCTTTTCTTCCTTCCTTCCTTCTTCCTTTCTTCTTCCCTCCCTCCCTCCCTCCCTCTCTTCTTTCCTTCCTTCCTCCCTTCCTTCCTTCCTTCCTTCCTTCTTTTCTTCCTTCCTTCCTTTCTTCTTCCTTCCTTTCTTCTTCCCTCCCTCCCTCCCTCCCTCCCTTCCTCCCTCCCTCCCTCTCTTCCTTCCTTCCTTCCTTCTTCCTTTCTTCCTCCTTTCTTCCCTCCCTCCCTCTCTCCCCTTCTTTTTTCTTAAGAAGTGTAAACAATAGTTTTCAGTCCACTGTTTTCTCTCTCGTGTGTATTAGGGAGTGCAACAGAGGCAGCAATCATGGAGTTCATGATTTTTAAGAGAAGATAAGGGGGAAAGGACTCTGGAGGATTCCCTACTCCAAATTAGAGAGAATTCTGTTGAAGAAGTTACTACCGTATTCTCGGGACAAGCTAGAATTTAAACCTTTTTAAACTGAAGCTCTCAAGGTTAGTAGGAACTATATGTGCATGACAGATTGTTTTCTCTCATTAACAGGAGTGGCCTCAGACTCACGAAGCCTCCATCTCCTACACAGGGCCTAAAGAGAGACCACCCAGTGAACCAGAAGAAATCCCTCCCCGGCCCTCTCTGTACAGGAGAATCCTTCGCAGGCTCGCCTCATACTGGGCACAACCACAGGATGGTGAGCAGTGTGGTGATTGCAGATTGGAAAGCCCTGCCTCCTCAGGCAGACCTCCAAAATCAGCCTTACATATGTAACTGAGCAGGAGAAGGTGTTAATTCAGCCTTCCTGTACCCTCTCTCTGTCGCTGACATTTATGTTATTGTGGCTGTTTTTGGTAGGAGTGTTCTTGGAATAAAGATTCCATTTTTAGCCTGACATTTCACCTTTGAAGGATGAAATAAAGCTAAGGTGGAGATCTTGCAGGAAGCGCTCAGGTGGTGGGAAGGGGTAGTATCAGTGGAAGAAGCTGACCTGTGTCTGACGGATTCCCAAAGCCCTTTCCCAAGAGGTGAGCCCAGAGGTCTGGAATGATGTAAAGCTGTCCACCATCGAGCTGTCCATCACAACCCGGAACAGCCAGCCAGACCTGATGGTAAGTGTGTTCATCTTGAGAAAAGCATTTGGGTTCTGAGAATAATGACAACAGGGCAGCATATTCTTAGACCATTTCGGTATTTTTATTTTTGCTCTGTGAGCATAGGAAAGAAAGGATTAGAAAAAAGGTATACGATCTTGCAAGGAAGAACAGCAAGATGTAGGTAGGTGTAACTTAGTGTGGAAGCTAACAGGACTTGAGCAGATATTCCTGTCATTATTTAGTTGGTCTTCAGAAGGCTTAGAACAGATTCCTTTAGAATGAAAATCTAGGTAGTCTCTCACTTTTCACTGAAGCAAAAATTGTTTTTATGACTATATTAAATATATAGATTCGGGTCCCTAGAAACACACGCCACAGACACACACGTGCACACATGTGCACACACACACACACACACACACACACACAGCTATATGATTTTATTTGGGTTTTTGGGTTCAGTCTCTAGACAAGCAATGTCTAATGCAGTGGTAGTCAGCCTCACAAGACTATTTACATTTAAATTAATTAGAATTAAGATAAAATTAACTCATTTCCTCAGTAACACTAGCCATATTTCAGATGTTCAATAATACATGGCTAATAGCCACCATAGTGGAAAGCACAGACATAAAACATTTCCACCAGTGCTGAACATTGTATTGAACAGTGCCACTCCAGACAATGTGCTAAAGTCAAAAGTGAAAGAAAGCCAGTTGTTTCTGTATAGCTTGTAAGAGAAGAATTGACCTTCTAGAGTTAAGACTCATTACTAGAAATAGATAATAAACTTGGAAGGTGCCTTAGTTACTGAGGAAGATTTAAATAAGATAAAATTAAAGACATAAACAATTCATGTGAAATAAATGAGGTTTTATTGGAACACGGGCAAATTTATTCATACAGGTGTTATCTGTGCTGTCCTTGAGCTGCAGCGAGAAAGCCGAGTAGTTGTCATGGTTCCAAAGTCTAAAACATTTACTATTTGGCCATTTTCAGAAAAATTTTATTGACCCTGCCATAAACAAAATCTTAGTAATTTATGCAAATGAGAATGTTAATAGAAGCCATTCTTAACTGTGAACTAATTACAACATTTAGCTTTTATGCAAATCAAAGTCATTGTTGCCCTGGCCACTTGGAAATTGGCACATACAGTCAGAATGTGGTTTGATTCCAGTACTAATATTTGGAGTATTGACTTGTTTTCTAATTACAAAAGTAATACATGTTTGTTGGAAAACATTTGCCAAACATTCTTAAATAATAATTGCAGTTGAATTAAAGAACTGTTTAGAATAGTAAAACTACAGAAGTATTAGAGTAAAATCTTGAGAGACTTCAGTATATACCTGGAGAAGACAAGGCCTCTAAACATGATGCCTACAGCAGAGTTCCTGTTGATGCATTTATCTATTTATTACAAAGATACTATAAAAGACAGGTGTTGGTGGCTCATGCCTGTAATCCTAGCTACTCAGCAGGCTAAGATCTGAGGATCGCAGTTTAAAGCCAATCCAGGCAGGAAGACCGTGAGATTCTTATCTCCAATTAACCATCAGAAAACTGGAAGTGGTGCTGTGGCTCAAGTGGTAGAGTGCTAACCTTGAGCTGAAGAGCTCAGGGATAGGCCCAGAGTTCAAGCCGTTCAAGCCTCACAACCAACTAAAACAAACAAACAAACTAACTAACTAACTAACTATATATATATATATATACACACACATATACATATATATATGTACTGTAAACAAACACATATATATTAGGATGTAATAGATTAGCAGTGAATAGCTTTTCTTATCACAAACTCCTAATTTAAGTCAATAAGAAATGAGCAAAGGGACACATGTAAAAGAATGAACAAAGGATTAAAATAGTGAATTTTCAAAAGAAATCAACACTTAAAAAGAAAGTAACTTCTACCAGATGCCTGGTACTGTCCTAAAATTTTACATATATTCACCTATATGACCCTCATAACTACTCTATCAGAACCTTTATCAGCATTTCTTATGTAAGAGAACAGAAAAACAGTTCTCAACATCAAAGAAACACGGAATAGTAAGTAGTGGGTTGTCACAGATGAAAAGCTCTAGCTCAGTCAGCCTTGGTGCAGGTGGAGATAAGCAATCTGGGCATTGTGATGACAGTGTAGCTAACACCCTGTTCAATAGCAGCCTGGTAAGTCTATACAGTGTCTAAAATACATGCCTACCTATTGTTCTGTTAAGCATAGGAATTTATCTTGCAGAGATGAGCACATAAATATGTAATATAGATAGTACTTCTTTGACCCAATGGAATTCTGAAAAAATTACAGAAAGTGAGAGTATGAAGGTCGAAAAAGTGAGATCTATTCCAGAGGAATTTTACAAAGAAAGATAAAATTTCTATCACACATTTCCTTTCTACTCAGCCCTTGGTAATTTGTACTTCCAGTATTTTGTACATGTTCTTTTACCATTGTTCTCATCTCTGATGATTGAATACCAATGAATGGATTGGGTTCAGTGAGCCTGTGATTCAGCTCTAGATTAGCCGCATTCAGAATACTGAGTGCTTTTATCTTTGTGCCAATTATAAAGGTAGCCAATGCTGTGTTCCTTTATCGCTAATGGAGCACATCCATTTTTTTTCTTTTTTCCACAGAAATAAAAGCAAACGCAATAAAACAGTTAAAGACAACGTGCCCGCCATGTAATAGCTTAAAATACTTACTTATCATTAAAAGCAGTATATTCAGTGTGAGAAAGAAGCTTTAGGAATATGACCATGGAATATGAGAATGTTAGGATCTTTTGAGTACATGAATTTACTCTATTTCTTTTTTTTGCTGTTTTGCTTGAAGTCAGGGCTTTGTGCTCTCACTTGACTTTTTCATTTAAGGCTAGAGCTCTACCATTGAGCCACACCTCCACTATGTACTGTATTTCTAATAATATATAAAACTAACAGTTAAATGTATTTTAGTACATCTATTTCTAATATATCTAGTTACTGATAAGGCAAGATATACAATTCAATGTTGTTAAAAAACTGAGTTATAGGGCTGGGAAGGTGGCTCAGTGGTAGACCGCTTGCCTTGCAAGCATGAGGCCCTGGGTTCTATTCCTCAGCACCACAAAAGCAAAAAGAAAAAAGCCGGAAGTGGTGCTGTGGCTCAAGTGGTAGAGTGCTAGCCTTGAGCTGTAGAGCTGAGGGACAGCGCCCAGGCCCAGAGTTCAGGCCCCATGACTGGACCCCCCCCCCCAAAAAAAAAAAAAACTGAGTTATAATAATTTGTAAGTTTAAACCTTGGTACTGGCACAAATAAATAAATACATAATAAATAAAATTATTTATATCAAATGGTTCCATTTTGATTAAAAGGAAACACCTTTAATGATGGTAGTAAGGCTCCATTTTTTTTCCTTCCAAATAGTCAGTTGTCCAAGCCTGTTGGTTGAAGCATACATGTTTATTTTCTCCAGATCTCCATCATATTAATTATATGGATTTCCTGTGGATTTTTTTATTTCAACTGCAAACAGTACAAGTTTTGTTTTCTCCTTTCAAATACATAGTCCTTTCTCTTCACCACACTGCCAGGACCTCTAATCCTTTATTTTTCTATACTTATAATCTGGTTTTCCTAATTATTATAATTTTATAATACATTCCTCTGTTTTTCTGCTTAGTATCTCTTGGCAATTTGTGGCTCTTTTGATTTCTATAAATATTTTAGAATGTTTATTAAATTCCACATAAAAATTGATGATATCGGTCTGGGCTACATTGGTCATGGATCAATTTGAGAAGAAATGACATTTCTACAATATTGACTCTTACAGCATATGAGTGTGATATGTTGCTCCATTTTTTCTTTTTACATCTTCAATAACAATGAAGTTTTATAGTTTTCTCTATACATCTTGTCTTCTGCTAGATTTATTCTTGGTTACTTTCATTTTTGATGCTACTATAAATAGTTTTTGTTCAGATTTCATTGTCTAACTGGCTTACTAGGAGGGCACGTAAATTATTATTTTAATCTTGATTCTGAAGCAGCAGTGTAAGTAATTTCTTTTTTTAATTGTCTGGATTCTTTTGTATTTCCTGTAGATTTTGTTCCTTCAACTACAGACAGTACAAGTTTTGTTTTCTCCTTTCATTGTGCTCTCTCTTACTCTTTGGTCTTTACCACACTGCCGAGGCCTGGTGGTATTGTACGAAGTAGTGGCATGACCATTTTCTCAAGCTGTGAGAAAAGCTTCATGCTCCATTCTGTATATATATGCATGTATATAAATTGTAAAAATGTTATGCAGAGGGGTTACAGTTACATGAGTAGGGTAATGAGTACATTTCGTAGTGAGCATTGTTACCTCCTCCTTTGTTTTCCCCTCACCATTACTTCCCTCCCCACCTACCCAACTCCTCCCGTCCCACCCCCCAACCCCGACATTGTAGTTCATTTTCAACATAGTGTCCTGTACATCTCGTCATCACATGAGTCAGCCTGCATCCCCATTTAAGCGTTCTGCAATATCCTTTCCCCTCCCCAAACTATAAAAATGTATATACAAGATGCAGAACACTGGCACCAAATCCAGTGAAAACAGGAAATGGGAAGACTTGGAAAAAATTATTAAGTGAAGTAAGCCAGGCCCAAAGAAGCATAGGTCCCATGGTTTCCCTTGTTTGCAATGACTAGTACATGTCTAGGACAAGCAGAGAAGGTCAAAGGCTATGTACATATGACCACATGAGATAATGGTAAGCAAAATGAACCCAAGACAGGGACACAAACGGTTTTTTTCTTTCTTGCTAGTATTTTTAATGTACTTACAAGGCACTTTGTGATTCTTTTGTTTCATGCTCTATTCTGTATGATTAAAAGAAAACTTGGTAACATTAAGGAAGTCTTCATCTAATCCAATTGGTCAAGAGTTTTGATTGATTGATTGATTGATTGCTTTTGTGCTAGTACTAAGGCTTGAACTCAGGGCTTGGGTGCCCTGAGTGTTTTTGCTCCAGGTGAGAGCTGTACCACTTGAGCCAGAGCTCTACTTCCAGCATTTTGGTGATTAATTGGAGATAAAAGTCTCACTGACTTTTCTGCCTGGGCTGGCCTGGAACTGTGATCCTCAGATCTCAACCTCCCAAGTAGTTAAAATTCCCAGGTGTGAGCCACTGGCAGGCACCTGACTCCAAATTTTGATTTTTAATCTCTAATATCTTAAGACATTTAATTTTATTAAGTATCCTTCCAGCATCTTTTAAGTTGACATTTTTTCCATTGAATCTGCCAATGTAATAACTTGATTTTTTTTTTTTTGTCAGTTGTGGGGCTTGAACTGTGGGCTTGGGTACTGTCCCTGAGCTCTTTAGCTCAAGGCAAGGGCTCTACCACTTGAGCCACAGTGCTACTTCTGGTTTTCTGGTGGTTAATTGGTGAAAAGAGTCTCACAGACTTTCCTACCTGGGCTGGCTTTGAACCATGATCCTCAGATCTCAGCCTCCTGAATAGGATTACAGGTGTGAGCCACTGGTACCTGGCAATAACTTGACTTTTGAATAATGTTATGAGACTTTTGGCCAAGATTCATCAGCAACAGTTTTACCTTTGGATGTTAAATGCTAGACAGCATCTGTGAAATGATTGTTTCATTCCCTGAGAGAAAGAAGTCAACTCAGATGAGTACTATGCTCACCTAGCTCACTTCTGGAGTGAGACCATGTTATAGACACAGAGGCCCGTACTCCTGTGGGCCTCTGTCTCCCTGTTCTCCAAGAACAGGTATATTGAGCAGAATACAAGAGAGCTGAGTGCCCAGCCCTTCTCTGTTTTACTTATTTTTCGTTGTTTGCCCAGACTGTGATCTTCCATCCCATGCCTTTCACATAGCTGAGGCTAGAATCACCATATCTTGCTTGTTAGTTGAGATGGAGTCTCACTAACTTTTTGCCCAGGTTGACCTTGAGCCACAATGCTCCCAACTTCCTCCTCCTGTTTATCTGGTATTACAGATGTGTACAGTACAATTACAAATAATTTTTCACGTTTTAAGCTATTTAACAAAATTGTTACATGTAAAATTATACAAAATTCAAATTAGTATTTTTAATCTTTGTTTAGGGCAAAGAGGACTTTATGAACATCTGTATTGAACCTGACACTGTCAGCAAAGGAGACTTTATTACCATAGGGTAAGTGGACTGGCATTTGTAACCTGGGCTTCATGAAGTAGCTTGTGATCTCAGACTCCATGGTTGAGTGTAGAGATGGAGTGTGGGAATTCTGCCACTGGGTTTTCCAATGGTCAATGTGCATAGTGCCTGTCTGCTACTTTGGAAAAGAAACTAAGAGCAGTCTTTGGCTTTCTGTTGAAATTAAGGAATTCTACACACAAGGCACAAGGTCAGGAACTCTGGTTTCAGTTAGAAAACTGAACATGGTCTTGCTTCTGCTATTTATTCACTGACCTTGAAACTAAGGGTCATACAAGCTTTTGTGAATCTTTCTTTTCCCCCCATCTATTAAATGAAACAATATAATCATCTCTACTATCAGCCTCCAAGGAGAGTATTCAAATAGTATGGCACTTGTAGAGGCTCCCTGGCTGTTCCCATCACTTCACCTTCTTTTCCTTATTCCCAGGGTGTGAATGGAAAACTTGAAAAAGCCTGGACATTTCCCAGGCTTTTTGTCCTTTTCCAATACAACACACCTTTCTAAGTCCTCCCTGATCTGCAGAGTTCTACCTCTGCCAGGATTTTATTGGCTAAGAATGCTAAAACCCTTCAGCAGTCTTCAAAGCATTTGAGTTGCTGGCGTGTTCCCATGCCAACTGGTAATCTGCTCCGCTGTTTGTGCTTTGTCTCGGTGCTCCCTCTGGTGTCCATTTAGGGATGAGACATATCTGTAGCAGCGGCTCCATCTCCATGGTTGCGTCTCCATGACTGCGTCATTATCTATACCGGCAGTGCTGACAGCAGAATGGCTTTCGTTAGTTGATGGTACAACTTCTTCAGATGCTGAATAGCTCCTTCTGCAGCCTTTGATACACTTGCTGTATCGCAAGTAGGGGAGAAAAGGAAAAGCCTGTGGCTGCTCTGCTCCAGTATCCAGAAGCCACACACAGTATTGACTGAGAGTCTGGTCATGAGGACCAGCTTGATTCAGATTGTTATAAAACCAACACTCCAAAGCAGAAAGAGAGCCCAGCCCATTGCTTATCCAGGCAGAGGCATTCTGTTCCCCATCTTACTAGAAGTGAAATTAATCATGTAATGTGTTTGTGTGTTTACAGAACATAGTGAAGTTGAATTTCCAGAACTCTTTTGACAGTTCCATATAGTGTTCCATATAGAAAAGAATGAATTCAATTTTCTTGATTTTTCTACACACACACACACACACACACGGATATGTGCATGTATGTGTATCCCTACCAATACGAAATTGAAATCATGTGGTGTGTGTGTGTGTGTGTGTGTGTGTGTGTGTGTGTGTGTGTGTGTGTGTGTGTGTACTGGTTTACTCCAAGGCTATCTAGTAGGGATAAAATATGCTAGTAGGCTGTCAGTCTAATCATTCAAGAATGTCTTAGGACTGACTCATGTATATAAAAGAAATATCTGTCTTAAGCTAGAATATAAATCATTTCTCCTTTAATAGAGAATAACAGGAAGGATCAGTGACAGGTTAGTACTTTTCCCAGAGAATTACAATTTCATTTTGCTCTTTAAATTTGAGACTACCTGTCTAGCAATTAGATTGGTGTGTTAATTTGAAACAAAGGAACAATTCCTGCCCAGTTTTCTAGAGCAGGTTAGCCTGCTAAATCTGAAAGGTGCCACAAAGGAGTCATGGTGGGGAATGTATTCACAGAAGCCCCACAGCGTCATTGAGCAGTACTTCCTGTCCTCATCTGAGGAGGGGGACAGCTGGAGCTTGAGTTGTTCAATGCCATCACTGATTTCTATGTTGCTTGCTATCCCCCCCCCCCCCCCCATACTAACAGAAGTAAAAAGGTGAGAAACCCCAAGCTTCGAGCAGATGGCACCGAGTGCCTCCAGGCAAGCCGCTGCACGCTGCTGCTTCCGGAGGTGAGAGGGGAGGGGAGAAGGGGGACTGGGGTGGGCCCACGTCTGTGGGTGGGTTCTTTATTGCTCTGACTCCTTTGTTTCCCGCCCCCTATGTGCCAAGCATTAGCGAGGTTTAGGTCCAAGTGAGGGAGACATGGGAAGGAGAGTTGAGCCCCTGGGTCATGGCTTGAAGACTTGAGACTTATTTAGTCAGGGTCAGAGGCGGTCTCTCAGTCTCCAAGCAGTGGGTTCATGTGTCAACAGTGCTAAAGTCTCCTATGATGAAACAGGAAGAATTCTCTAGCCAGCAAGTAGTAGGCTTCATTGTAACATTTCCTATAAAGGATCTGGAATCAATTTTCAATCCGCACTGAATTGGCACTGAGAAATGCATCCATCTTTTGAAGAATTAGCTATGAAAGTGAAAAAAAAAATTGGGGATCCATGAATTGTAAGAATACCTGATTGGCGCTAGCTCAGGAAAACGCTAGTGCAGGCCTCTGAAGAGCCATGGCCTGGTGCTACAGCATTTAAGGTTGTAGGTAACGGAGGGCCCCACGCCACTGGACCATAGCTTCATGCAGAATTGTTGAGATGGGATCTCACTAGCTTTTTGCCCTCGATCCTCTCTACCTCCACCTCTGAGGAGCTGGGATTACAAATGTGAGCCACCACACTGGCCAGTCCCTGCTTCTGAATGACTATTTGGAACACTGTGGATGCTTCACAGCTAGAGTTACTTTCCCAGCCCTGTGTTTGAAAAGTTTAACCTCGTTATGTCCCAAAATACCTAGGGAGGGAGGAGACAGAGATGGAAAGGAAGGAAGGAAGGAAGAAGGGAAGGGAAGGAGGGAGGGAAGGAAGGAAGGAAAGTCCTTTTCCTGGAGTGCTGGGTGAGTGTTCCCAGAGCAGTTGGGCACTGAGCTGTTTTGTTAGGACGTTGGGATGGGCTCAAGCCGGGGCGGGCCGTGCGCCCCCCCTCTGAGCCGCCTCCTCTCCCCAGGGAACGGGGGGCTCTTTCAGCATCGACAGCGAGGAGTACGAAGCGATGCCCGTGGAGGTGAAGCTGCTGCCCAGAAAACTGCGCTTCTTCTGCGACCCCAGGAAGCGGGAAGAAATGCTGCAGAGCGCAGCCCAGTGAGGCCCGGCACGCCGCCCCGCCGGCCGGCCGCCGCCGGACCGGGCACGTCGGCCCCCACCACCTGCCCCACCGCTCCACCCGCTCCACCCGCCGGCGCAGCGCTGCCCCCAGCCCCTCTCCCCTCCTCTTCTATCCGCGCTCCTTCCGCGCGCATGCGTGGCGCCTCCTGCACGTCTGCGCATGCGCTCCAGGCGTGCGGAGGGGCGGGTCCGGCTAGCACAGGCACGTGCTGGCACTGGCGCTCTGGCTGCAGGGGTCCCCAGGCAAGCCCGCGGCCGCCCAGACACCTCCTCCCCCTCGTGTGTGCGCTGGAACCTCGTGAGCTCTTGTTTCAGTGTCATCCTCCACCCAAAAGCAAGTGTCAAGGGTTTCTCCCATCCAGTCCCCTCTAAATGCGGGGTCCAGGTTGTGCCGGCCTGCCGCGGACTGACAGCCTGGTAGCTGGGCCCGGGCCAGGCCCCAGAGCGCCATCGCCGGCCGCCGTGGCCTCCCCTGCGCAGTGCGTGCGGAGCGGTCCACAGACGCCTGCGCAGTGCGTGCGGAGCGGTCCACAGACGCCTGCGCAGTGCGTGCGGAGCGTCCACAGACGCCAGGCCCACCATCAACACCCAACGCCCGCCGCTCTTCAAGGGAGATGAAACAGCTGGCAGTGGCCTTCCTGGAGCCGTGTAAATATTCACCTTAAAATAAGAAGTGTGAAGCCACCCGTTTAAACACATCAGTAGATTTTAAATACCAGAGCAACTTGATGCCCCTCCTTCATTTATAACAATAAAGGAACTCGTTCTTCAGTGGTTGAAATATGTTTTAACTTTTCTCCCTGTGGGTTTCCATACCACTTTCAGCAAAAGACCCTTATAATGTAATCTGTTTTTATGTGTGCATTTGTATTGATTGCTTTTCACAAAAAATATAAACAGACATAAAATACATTTGGCTAGTTCCTAAATGCTTAGTTAGTGAAAAACAAAATGTTTTTGTAATTACTGGGCACCATAATTGAGGAAAGTTAACTTTGATAAAAATTATTAGAATTTTCTTTATCCTTTACATAAATCCTATTTGTAGCACAACAAGATTCAACTATAGTTATAGTCCTTGTTTAGCTTTTTATACTTGTGTGCACACAAGTAAACAGAAATAGAAAAAAAATCACAACAATTTTACACAGTTCTTTGAATTCTTTTGAAGTTAACATGGCACAAGCAGTGTTCTACCATTAAAACAGCCAGTGACTTCTCAACAGTTAATTAGATCCTCCGTTAAAAGCAGAGAACTAAAAACCACCCAATTTTCTAAGGATGTGTTATGCAGTCATGAGCATTAATCAGTTCTAATACTGCTCTTGACATTTCCCTTGTTTTGTACCCAAGAGGTCCTTATTCTCCAGGGATCTGTGCTTAGCAAGGTGCAGAGGGAGATAGCAAAGCGGGACGTGGGGGAAAATTGGCTGGCAGACCTTACTTAGCTCCAGCTCCTTCTCAGAAAGGTTATACACCCATGGAGAGGGGAGAGTACTACTTTATTATACAAACAACAGCTTCTCCATACAGGATCACAAAATGTAAGGCTTACCTACTTAGCACTCATGTCAAGGTGGTGGTGAAAACTTTTACTTGAGTACAATTCTAAGGGGGTCCAAGCCCACCTCCCTCAAGCCACCCATGGAGAGGTGAGGGGATGTGTAAGGAATAAAATTAGCATATTAGGGTTCTGTAGCAGTGTGTAGGTTAGGGCCAATACAGATTCTGACTTTGTTTCACTAAAGTGCTAAATCTGTGTGTGTGTGTGTGTGTGTTTAGTATAATCAGTGGTGCAAATGGTTGGGGAAAGATATTTGCAAGAATTTTACTTGTAAAATTTTGTTCGAATTTTGTTTCCTTTCTTAGGCTCTGGTTTGGGGACTTGCTCTCCTTATTGTCTATTTCTTTATTCTCGTGCTGTCCTTCCATGCAATGAGCATGTGAAATGACGTTTAACAATGCAGCCATAGCTGGAATGCTGAGTTGAGTGCAGGAGACGCTGCCCTCCTCTGCAGTACAAACTTTAGTGGGTTCATTGCACTCAAAAGCTGAATACTGTACAGTACAGGCCTTCTAGACAACAGGTTAGCAAAGCCTTGTCTTTCCTCTAAAGTTAAAATGACTAAGCACCAGTGCTTTGTGCATGCACGTGACACATCAGTTTTCTAGCACCCCCAAAATAATGTTTAAAATAGCTCCCCAAAGGTTCACTACAAACACACACAGACATCAGTGTCAAAACCTCCTGTCTTTTAAGACACTGCATAGAACAGAAGGGCTGCTTCTCGAAGTTCTCTTTTGTGACTCTGGGTACATAGCCCTCGCTCTTCTGGATGGATATTCTCAACTTTGGCTTCTGATTCCTGGACAGTGTGTATCCAAACCACAACTTCTCTGAGGATGGAGAGAAACTCCAGGTCTCTTCCCCATCACTGTAAGCGAAGGCAGGGTTCAGCCCGAGGGCTCTGGTCCCCAGTTGGACCACCATCATTCCTTCCAACCACAAACCACATTTTTGACACTGCACAGAGTCATGTTAAAATGTGAACTTTAATTGTAAAAATCGTTTACTGTAAATATAGTTATATCAACCTCTGCACACAACTTGGTTCAGATATATACAGATATGATATACATAGATGTCATTTATACCACCAAACAAAGCAATTCAAGAAACATTGACTCTTAGCCATATGATTAACCTCAGCTTTCTTCAAGCCTTTAAATTATCGCCAATAAAGACAGAGAGGAAAAAAAAGACCACTGCACCTGTTTATAGTAGCATCCAGGGCAAAACTTAAGAAGTTGCCGATTTCATCACATGAGGTAACAACTTGAAACAAAAATAGATTCAGTTTCTCTTATTGCTTTAACTCTTAGGATGGGATATGACTCAAAATAGGGTTTTTACATTTAAGGCAACCAGGGACATTATGCTGAGCCTTACTTGGAAACAAAAATAGGAATACAGGGTTTCCAAGGTGACAACTACCTTGTCTTCAGGAAAGATTTATATTCCAGACCTGTACAAAATGTTAGCCAGCAAGCTCTGGGTAAACAAGAGTTCACTCTGTTTACCTCTATGCTCAACCTCTAGTGTCACCCACCCAGGCTAGTCAAACCCAGAACCCCTACGGTCCCCACTCAGGACTGTTCGGGCATGACAGACCCAAACCTTGTTTTCCTAATTTTTTTATATACTTCATCTTTGCTTCACTCTTCATTTGAATTAAATATACTTCCAACACTGATTACCTCAGTATGGGTTTTTTGCTTTGTGGGTTATCTCTGTCCAATTTATAATACCCTACTTCATCCCACACTCCCCAATTACTCTTAGACAGCAAATTCAACTCATCATTTGTCTGAAGAGGCATTTTACCCAAAAGTCAGTAACACTACGCTATTATGGTATTGAATAACCTTTTTGAATTTCGGTCCTCCCAGCTCTTCAAAGTCCATCCTCTGCTGAATTTTAAGAATTCTAAAATGAAGAGAGTGGGATTTTATTTACCCATTCTCATTTTTCCCCTGTGCAGCACTAAAAATTTCCCATTCCCTTTCTAAGTTTGCAATGTCATCCAGCCACTCTAAAATGTCAGCCTTTTAAAATGAATGGAAGAACTAGCTAGAAAACCACCTCCCGTTCCCAATTCCCTCTAGTTGAACGAGGGGGCCTGCTACTCAGAAGCTCCCCTCCTCTGTTGGGTCCTAGAGTTTCTCTGAAGTTAGTGTTTGTGTGGCATCCTCCTTCCTGGGCCTGTGGATGTGGATGTGGAGCTCTGCCAGATCACACAGCACAATGTCCTTATTCACGTGGAATGCCATGCGAAGCCTCTAAATGCTTCAGCTGCTACCAAAATGCAAAACTGCCCATTTCTTCTAGGGTTATAGCTTGGAAATTTTCCATTTCAACACCTTCATACCCAGTCCATCAAGTAGTAACGACGATATAAAAGTAAACTTCCACTTCTTGTAAGAAAAACATTAACTTAATTCACAGCCTTTTCCTACAATACTCAGTGCTCCAATAGCTCCTGGGAACCAGAGGTATATTAGTAGTAAAAATGAAATGTTAAAATGACAGTTGATAAAAAGGAGTCCTTAACTCCTCCCCTGCCCTACCTGAATCAGTAAAGGGTTTTCCTGAAATGGGAAGGGCAGAGTCTGGGCCTGTCAAGGCGAGACTACGGGGCTGCAGGATACCTCCTCAAATGTAATTACAAGGTGAAGGGAAGAGACAGGACAGCTAGACATGTCCCAGGTTCAGATCCAACTAGCCTGGCAGGGAGCTGGCAGCCCACACAGAGCCACACAGTTCTCCTTATTAATTCTTATCCATTTTAGAACTGTGCTCACCCTAAGGGAGGTCTGTGGCAAAGCTGCTCATTATTGTGTAATCTTCTTCATCCACACTCACCTTCCATTCCCTCCTTTTCAAGGGTGAGAGCACGTCTCAATCCATTTCCTGGGCTGTGCAGCTTCAAAGGCCAACAGTCCCTCAGGTCCCTGTCTCTTGTCAGAGGTTGATGTCTGCTGCTACAAGGATGATCACTACCCTCTTGTACACCAGGTGCCCCTGGAGAGGTGGCTCGTTTGACCTCAGTGTTTGAAGTGTTTTCAGTATATGAAGACAGATAGCAAGTCCATCTTCCTGGCCACCAAAAGGAAGACAGTGATGTGCCTAGCAATTAATTTACCTTTGTCTGCCTTGTAAAACATAGGTAGTTAAATAATGAACCTTCATATATGCCAACAAATGCTATCTTACTTGTGTACAACTCTTAACCTTTCCCATTTTGGTTTCTATGTGATTTATAACAAGGCTGATTTCAAATGTAAGTTCCTGTGCTGAATTACTACTCTTGGTGCATCCATGAATTTGGCTTTTCCTGCCCTTGCCCCACAGAAGAGATGGCAGAGTGGATGGAAGGTATGGGATGCAGATCCCTTCCCCATTTATAGTACTCACAAATGACAGGCCCATAACATCCCCAGGAGAGGAGGGCTTCATGTTCAAAGGCAAAGCTAGTGCTAAGCAATGACTTGGCTCAAACTTTGGAGCCCCAATTAGAAGACTCCAAGCCTCATTCCCTCTACTAGTAGAGGGAATGATAACCCCAGTGAGAAAGTCCCTGTCTGCCCTGCAAGGAAGGAGAAGGTGGTCCATAAAAAAGTTGTGTTTTTTTTCCTTTTGTAAACATGTTTCTGAGATGATAGCTAAATCCACAATACAGAGGAGGAAAGAGGAAAATGTATTAGTTGCACAGTTCACATTTCAATGCCCAAACCTATTTATATATTTACATAAAAGTGGCTACCCTGATTAATCAGTGTCTATTCCTGTTTCTATACATATGAATTTCTTCACTCTTGAATTCTGTATCAAGGTGCTACAGTGGAAATACTTTTAACAGTAAAAGACTAGTACTGAGATAAGAGGCATGGCCCATCCATTGGAAGGTTATTTCTCTCTTTTGGGGACATCTAGCCTGGCTGTGTTCTGGCCACAGACATGGATGAATGCATCAGCTTCTCTTCTGAGAACAGAATTCAGAAGGCAGGAGGCAAGAGAAGAAATTAATCTGTTAACAGTCCAGGATCCTAAGCCAGAGTCCTTAAGTATGCCCACCCCCCCCCCAAAAAAAAAACCCTCTAAACTACTATACGAACTGATTTTTTTCCCTTTAGTTAACAACCGTCCTCTTACCTAAGCTTGTAGTCATCAAGAAACCCAGCCCAAAAGGATGGGCAGGTTGCTACAAGATGCTGCCCAAC